AATATTCACATCCTGCTAGCAGGTGATCTCTAGATTCATCATGTGCTTGACAAAGACTACATTTTACTTTTACATTCATCCCCCATCTTATGTGTAATGACCTGGCTGGTTGTTTCATGAGTTACCGCTCCGTTTTCCCTATTTTTGCTTCTTATTGTCTTGTTCAGCTGTATTATATATTATTGGGTTGGTTGGCTCGGGTTCGGAGAGGTTCTGGTAAGGTTTGAGACACTTAGTCTCTTTTAAGAAAGCTTAAGTTGAAAAAGTCAACCGGATGTTGACTTATGCGAAATAGGGCTCGAATGTAAATTTCGATGATTCGGATAGCTTCGGGAGGTAATTTGGGACTTAGGAGCGTGATCAGAATGTGTTTTGGAGGTCTGGAGTAGGTTTAGGCTTGAACTGGCGAAATTGGAATTTTGGCGTTTTCCGGTTGATAGGTGAGATTTTGATATAGAGGTCAGAATGGAATTCCGGGAGTTGCAGTAGGTCCGTTGTGTCATTTGGGATGTGTGTGTAAATTTTCAGGTCATTCGGACGTGGTTTGATAGACGTTTTGATCGAAAGCGGAATTTGGAAGTTTTTAGAATTCTTAGGCTTGAATCCGATGCAAATTTGGTGTTTTGATGTTGTTTTGAACATTCCGAAGGTTGGAACAAGTTTTAGTGATGCTATGGGATATGTTGGCATATTTCGTTGAGGTTCCGAGGGCCTCGAGTGAGTTTCAGGTGGTTAAACGAATCATTTCAAGAGAGAAAAATTGCAGAAATTTGCTGTGAGTGTTGCATACTTTTGGCCTTCGCGTTCCCGAGTGGGCCCTCGTGTTCACAAAGGGTTAGGATGTGAGGTTGGAAGTTTGGCTTTCGCGTTCGCGAAGGAGGTCCCACATTCGCGAAGGGCTGGGGTCATTGAGCTATGCGTTCACGAGAGATAAGTCGCGTTCGCGATGGGCTGGGAGCTGAGACTTCGCGTTCGCGAGAGGAGAGCCGTGATCGCGAAGAAGGGAAATTGGTCAACTCAAATTTGTGCTTCGCGAATGCGAGGCATTGACCGCGTTCGCAATGAAGGATTTATAAGTGCTGGGCAGAATGTTTAAAAGACCCATTTCCGCGATTTTGAACCTAAGTTCCTCCATTTTTGGGCGATTTTGAAGCTTTTTTAAGGGGATTGAAGAGGGAATCAAGGGGGAACACTTGGAGGTAATATTTATGGACTTAATACTCAATCCAAATGTGATTTATACCTAATTAATCATGGAATTTGTAGAATTTAGGCCTAAATATTGAAGAACTAGGGCTTGTAATTGGTAGACCTAGAATTTGGGATTTGAGGGGTCCTTTGTGGTTGGATTTTGGTGCTTTTGATATGCATGAACTCATGGGGAGATAAGGAGTCTACTGATGTAAATTTTATCGAAGTCCAAGACGTGGGCCCGGGGGTCGGATTGGACCAATTTCGGAATTTTTGGTATAATTTGATTATTTTTGCATGGGCTTCGTTCCCTTAGCTTATTCTAATGTTATGATTCTAATTTTGGGTAGATTCGATGCGAGTTGAGGCCGAGGAGAGAGGCAAGGGCGTCGCGGAGTAGTATTTCATCTAGTTTGAGGTAAGTAACCATTGTAAATCTGGAACTGAGGGTATAAAACCCGTGTATTTTGTATTGATTTGATAAATGAGGTGACGCACATGCTAGGTGACGAGCGTGTGGGCGTGCACCGGTAGGGATTGCGACTTGGTCCGTCCCGTAGCGACTATTAAGTCACGTACTTGATTTGAAATCTTATGACATCACGTATTTTAGAGATTGATACTATATTATGGGTTGTATGGCATGTTTGGGGCCTTGTGCCGACCTGTTGAGACCCTTAGGGGCATTTTTTACTGTTTTCCTCACTCTATTTGTTTGAAAGCATATCCTCATCCATGTTTTACCTGTTTATTATTTAAACCTGGTTTTTATCACTCTGCTTCTTAAAATATGAAAACTGTTTGGGCTGAGTTCCCTTGATTTCCGTTGTTATGCCCGAGTGGCTGTGAAGTTAATGACTGAGAGAGGTTGAGGACCTAATCATGAGGAATATATATATATATATATATATTATGGATCAGGCTGCACGCCGCAGCAATATTATATGTATATATTATGGATCGGGCTGCACGCCGTAGCGATACTTATATGGATCGGGCTACACACCGCAGCAATATATATATATATATATATATATATATATATATATATATATATATATATATATATATATATATATATATTGGATCGGGCTGCGCGCCGCAGCGATATGACGCTTGGATTGTAGGAGCCCCTCCGGAGTCTGTACACCCTAGTGAGCGTAGTCGACTATAAACTATGGATCGGGTTGCACGCCGCAGCGACTATTATGAGATATTATTGAGCCTGAGTGCTGAGTGTGAGTATTGTGTGACGAAAGTTTAGTCACGAGTGACCGAGAGGCTATATTTGTGAGTGATACCTTGCCCGAGGGGCCCATTTATGACGTTTATGCTGATTTCACTCTTTCTTTTAGAATGAGCCTCTGTTGAAAAAGGCTAAGTAAATTATTTCAATGTATTTCAACTTAAATTGAAGTTTTACGAAGTACTGGCTTTTAATTTATTGAGTTTGACTTGATATTCTGTGGTATACTTTTATATATATAATTTTTAACTGCTCGTCACTGCACTCAGACCTTATTTACTTTAGTTACTTACTGAGTTGGCGTACTCACGTTACTCCTTGCACCTTGTGTGCAGATTCAGGTGCCCGAGCGGCAGAGTGAGGGTTCTCAGCATTTTCAGAGCTTGCCGGAGACTGCAAGGTAGCTGCACGGCATCCGTAGCCCTGCTTTCCTCCTTCCTATCCTTGTTTTTTCCGCATTTTAGACTTATCATGTATTAGACAGTCGGACTGGTTGTATTTAGAGGCTCTAGACTTGTAATACCAGATGGTTGTGATGTGTTTGCTTTGTTGATATATTATCTTTCCGCATATTTTTTTGAATTACATATTTCTCTTGCAAATTTGAAGCTTAATTAGTTTTAGAAAAATGGCTTATCAAAAAGAATTTTTCTGTGGTTAATTGTTTGGGTTGGCTTGCCTAGTATTGTGATAGGCGCCAACACGACCGGGGTTTTGGGGTCGTGACATTACGAGTCTGTCAGTGGTCAGCAATTTACCTTGTAATCCCAACCACATAATTATCTTAGCTTTAGGTCGAGCATCATTCCTATACACGAGTCATTTCTAAGGCTCTCTAGCATTGTTGGGTAGTAGATGTTTATATCTCAAGCTAGTGATGCTTTTCTTTATTGTTATATCATTTTGAATTCGCTTTATATCCTCTCTAGCTTCCATTATCTTCCTTATGATTTAACATGCTTGTTGAGGGGTGCCTGCTTCCTTAATTTGCTGTCCTTTTATAGAGTACGTATGCACCCATCTAATCCATAGCTTGTCCTGTCTGTGAGCAAGGTCCCAACATGTTTTTGTCATAGCAGCTTTGTTCCACAATTTGATATTGATTAGGTTTAATTCTCCTATGGATTTTGGAGAGCATACTCTTTCCCATGCTACCAGTGCTTTCTCTGTGATTGTATTAGTTCCAGACCAGACAAAGCTCCTACAGTAAGCCTCTATAAGTGATAGAATTTTCGCAGGTATTAGGAATAATTGAGCCCAATATGATTGTACCCCAAAAATAACTGATTGTACAAATTGAACCCTGCCTGCATAAGAGTTGGTAGTCCAGGAAGTGATTCTAGCTGTAATCTTGTCAACAAGTGGCTTCCACTAGATAAGGTTCAGTTTCTTTGTTGATAATAGTACACCAAGGTGTACTTGAAAGGGAGGTGTCCTTGGTTGAATCCCAGCTTAGCTAATATTGTTTCTTTCTCCTGATGTTGAACCCCTCCAAAATTCACACAGCTCTTCCTCATATTAGCCTGAAGACCAGAGGCTGCAGAGAAATGAAGAAAGCATTGCTGCTATTGATGTTATGTCTCCTCTAGTGAACATAAGAAGATCATCTGTAAAACTGAGATGAGTGATTCCCAGCTTAGCGTATCTAGGATGATATTTAAAAGCTTTTACTTTTTTGAGTTCATTAAGGCATCTACTAAGGTACTCCATAGCCATGGAAAAGAGAAAAGGTAAAATTGGATCCCCTTGCTTAAGACCCCTTGCAGCATTAAAAGGCTACGTTGGTTCCCCATTTATCACAATGGTATAGTTCACTGTATGCATTCCATTATCCAAGTAATAAATTGAGATGGGAAACCTAGTTCAAACATGACCTGTTCCAAGAAAGGCCATTCAACAGAATCATATGCCTTTTGGAGATCAATTTTGATCATGCATCTAGGTGATACTTGCTTCCTGGAGTAGGACTTTACTAGTTCATGAGCTAGTATGATATTATCAACAATCTTCCTTCCTGGTATGAAGCATGCATGTGCTTGACAGATGATATCAGCAATCATTGGTTGCATTCTAGATGCCAATATCTTTGCTATATTCTTGTATAAGACAGAACAATATGCTATTGGCCTATATTCCTTTAATGTGGCAGGGTGAGCAGTGTTTGGCACTAATGTAATGGCAGTACAGTTGACTGCCTTATACATTTTCCCAGTACTGAAGAATTCCTTGATTGCCACCACTACATCTCCTTTCACTACTTGCCAGGCTTTTATGAAGAAATAAGAGTTAAAACCATCTACACCGGGGGACTAATCATCTCCTATTAAATTTAATGCTTTGAATACCTCTTGTTTAGTGACCTTTGTACATAGGACGGGTTTTTGTTAGTGTGACAAGGTAAGGCCTTTCCTCATGGTGTGCTTGTTGGTTGCCGGTAGTATTTTTGCTGCAGATCCCATAAGACCTTTGTAGAAATCTACAATCTCTTCTTTGATGCTTTGAGAGTCTGTGAGTTTAGTTCCAAACATTGAAGTTAACTCATTAATCTACTTTCTTTGTGCCCTTATTTGACAATAACTGTGAAATATTTTGTATTAGAATCCCCTAGCCTTATCCAATGTGCTTGGGATTTCTGCTGCATCGCTTGCTCCTCAATCATAGACCATTTCTCCAAGTTGTGTAGTTGTTGTCTCTCCATTTTCGCTAATTCATCAGAGCATTTGTTACTAATTTGTTTTTGAGTACTGATCAATTCAGCTCTAGTCTTCTTAATCTTTTGTGATATGTATTTAAACTCCTCATTGTTCAGCTGCTTTAATAGAGGACTCAGAGCTTTTATCTTTAGCCATATATCTTTCATCTTGTTGTCAGTCATATTATTCCTCCATATTTGTTCTACCAGTGGTAAGAAGCTGTCATGCTTAGCCCATACGTTAAAAAATCTAAATGGCATCTTAATGTTCTGTTTTAGATGAGCCAAAGCTAGTACCATTGGAGAGAGGTCTGATATGAGTGGAACATCATATTCTACAAGTAAGTTCCCCCACTGCATCATCCACTCATGATCCCCAAATGTTCTATCTATTCTACTGTAGATTCTATCAGTGCCAAGTTGCTTATTAGTCCATGTGTAGTAATCACCTTTCCATTGGAGTTTATTCAGCATTAAGCCTTGCATACAATCAGCATAGTCTTTAGTCTCTGCATAGGTCACTGGATTCCCAATCATTCTGTCTTGTGGAGCCATTACTACATTGAAATCATCAATAACTAACCATGGTATGTTTATCCCATGTGCCACCTCTTTCAAGTTCTCCCATAAAGATGTCATTTGCTCTATTTTATTATAACCATATACAACAGTTAGCAAGCAATTCATAGTACATGTATTACTTTTAACATGGTAGTGTATTAGTTGTGCTTCACTTCTGATCATTTCCACTGTATAATAGTTTGGGTCCCAGCCTACCCAAATCCTCCCATTTCTTACATTCTGATAGTTCATTATGCTCTCCCATCTTGGCATTGTGTATTGGCAGATCTTTTGGGCATTATGCTCTTTGACTCTTATCTATACCAGTCCAGCCAGTTTGATGTTATTATTCTTCAAATAGTTCCTCAATTCCTTTTGTTTATATCTCTTATTTACACCTCTAATAATCTAGAATAACCACTTCATAGAGTAAGATTTGGATCCCTACCCCTATGCCCCTTTCTACTTGGTTCTGATCCATGTCTTGAATGTGTTGCTCCAAGCTCAGGAAAGTTGTGGAGGTTAAAAGCTGGACTTGCATTAGCTCTGCCCTCTGTGTGTTGGGTAATAGCATGTCCTCCTGCCTCTGTTGATTGGTGTACCTGTGTTCCACTTGTTCCTGAATTTTCTGGTTGTTCTGAGGTTTGTGTTCTTAGTTCATTTTTAGTTATTATCCTCTTCTGTTTAGATCCTTTTGTTGTCTCTTCTGCTGGAGAGGTTGTGCTGGTGCTACATTTTGATCTGCAGCTGGTGCTATTGGGCCCTTGGTTCTCCGCTCATAAGTGACAAGTTTATTATTTCTTTTCCTCTGTTGTTGTGGCACTGAAGGTTTTGCTCTGATCTCGCAACTATGACCAACAATCTGGCATTTTACATAAAACATAGGCTTCCAATCATAGGTTACCTATTGCTGAAACTTCCTTCCTATTGGGTCTATCATAGTGATTTCCTCAGGTAATATTCAACTCACATTCACTTCAATTAACATGCGAGCATAGGATATACTTGTTTGTTTAGTAGTGCATTCATCAGCATACAAAGATGTGCCTAGGACACTGGAAATTCTGCTTAATGATTTACTATTCCAACAACTCACTGGTAGATTAGGAAATTTTACCCATAGAGGACTGTCAATTGGAAACTCCTTCTAAAATCAAACTTAGGCGTCCAAGGTTTCAAGATTATTGGTGTAACGACACGGCCGGGTCATTTTTGGAATTTACGCCCCGATCCCCTATTAATTGTTTTCCCCAAGTTTATTTCTGCTATTTTGATTCGCTGGGATGTTCGGTTTTGAGTTTCGGAGAGCTTTGGGACACTTAGTCCCTAAATAAGAGCTTAAGTGATGGAAAGTTGACCGTAGTCGAAACAGTGTGAAGATGGCCTCGGAATGGAAATCCGATGGTTCCATTAGATTCGTTAGGTGATTTCTGGTTTAGGGGCGTGGTCGGATTGTGTTTTGAAGGTCCGTAGCTAATTTAGGCTTGATATGCCGAAAGTTGAATTTTTGAAGTTTCCGGTTCGATAGTGAAATTTTGATCCGAGGGTCGGAATGGAATTCCGAGAGTTGCAGTAGTTCTGTTATGTCTTTTTTGATGTGTGTGCAAATTTCAGGTCATTCGGAGGTGGTTTGGTTGGATTTTTGATCGAAAGCGTATTTTTGAGAAATTTGGAGTTCTTAGGCTTGAATCAATGGTTAATTTGAGGTTTCGATGTTATTTTAGGTGTTTTAAGGATTGGTACAAGTTTGAATAAGGTATTAGGTAATGTGGGTGCTTTTGGTTGAGGTCCCGGGGGCCTCGGGATGATTTCGGGTGGTTGACGAAAAGTTTTTGAAGTTAAGAGATTGCACATTTTAGCTGGTACCTGTCATAACCGCACCTGCGGTTGGGGGTTCCGCAGGTGCGGAGCCGCAGAAGTGGCGTAGAGACCGCCGAAGCGGATGTTGGTGTTTTCTTCAGATTCCGCAGATGCGGGAGGAGTACCGCAGATGCGGTTTCGCATATGCGAAAAGGAAATCGCAGATGCGGCTCCTGGGCAATTAAATGAAAGTCGCAGATGCGACGTGGTTTCCGCAGAAGCGAGACCGCAGATGCTGTCCCAGGACCGCAAATGCGGAAACAGCTAGGCAGAAATATGAGATTTCGAGGGTTTAGTTTCAAAAGTGAAAAAATCGATTTGGAGCTCGGGAGAGGGCTATTTTGAGAGGGAATTGAAGAGGAGATCATTCTGTAACGATTCTTTAACCCTTTCTAGTTATATTCCATCAATATATAATTGATTTCACCATTTAAATTCGGATTGGGGATGAAAATTGGGGAAAAGTTGGAAGAAAGTTCCTAGACCTAAAATTTGACTTTTGATTGGGAATTTGACCTTGGATTTGGATAATTTTGGTATGCCTGAACTCGTGAGAGTATGAGGATTCTGAAAATGTAAATTTTACCCGATTCCGAGACGTGGCCCCGAGGGACGTTTTGGTCATTTTACCTAATTTCGCGCATTAGCTTAGAATTTAATTATAGAATTAGTTACTTGAAGTTTTATTTACATTATGCAAATAAATTTAATAGATTTGGGCCATTTGGAGTCGGATACTCGTGGCAAAGGTGTGGTTTTGAGTTGATTTGAGCTATATTCGAGGTAAGTGGCTTGTCTAACCTTGTGTGGGGGACTTTTCCCCTTAGGATTTATATTGTGGTAATTGAAATGCCTCGTACATGAGGTGCGATCGCGTACTTGTGATAATTGTTGGAAATCCGATTTTTTCTCTTTAAAAATAGCTTTGAATTGTGTTCCTCCTTTCCTTGCTTACACTGTTTGGACATTAAACCTGCTGTAGCTTAGAGAAACATGTCTACTTGGCTAAATTGCTCTATCTGTCTTAACTGCCTTAATTTTACTACGTGAATCATGCTAGGTTAGGATTTCCCGCTTCACTTTGATATGAAATCGATTTGATTGAATTCTTGTTGTTGCTGTGTATTTACTTTGGGACTACGGAACGGTATTCCGGGAGATCCCCCTGCACTTTTTTTTGGGACTACGGGACGGTATCCCGGGAGCTCCCTTGTATGTTTACTTTGGGACTACGGAATTGCATTCCAGGAGATCCCCCTGCACATTTATGAGTTGGACTACGGGACTGCACCCGGGAGATCCACTGGATATGATATTTATATTTGGGGACTACAGGACGGTATCCTGGGAGATCCCCGGTTGTTATCTCAGAGCTGAGTTATGTCTTTTACTGTGTTTTACTTGCCTTTGTAATAGCCGTTGCCGTCCTTTATATCTTGTGTTATTTAATTACACTATTATTTCACACTATTAAACCTTATATCTTACTTACCCTCAGTAGGTGTGAGCACGTGATTTTTGCCCTAAGTAAATTATTCCAAAAGTTTCAAATAATTGATTTCTTTATTATTTTACAATTTTTGTGAATTTTTGTTAAATCATTGTGTTAATTGGTTGCATTTTTATTCATATGAAAATACAAAAATATGCATTTGCATTTAGGGATTTAATTTCACAATTTTAGGATTAATTAGGTATTAATTAGTTTTAGAACAAAATTTAAATAAAATTGCAAAAAAAAATAGTTTCTTTGCACTTTTAATTATTAATTGTTGCGTTTATCTTTAAATAGAGTTTTAAATAATTTTAGGAGTTAAATAGTTTAATTAGGTCTTTGTTTTGTTTTAGCATTTTATAAAATTAGGAAAAAATAAATAAATACAAAAATACAAAAATAAAATACAAAAGCAAGTGAATAAAATACAAGAAAACAAATAAAAGAATAAAGAAGGGAATTGGCTGCCAAGAATTGGGCCAAATTACCCAGGCCCAAACAAAAAACGCCCTGCTCCAACCTAGCCCAAACAACCCTGCCCGGTCCAACTGCCCCATATTCAAAACGACGTCGTTTTGTGGGTTTCAATCAGGACCGTCGAGGTTTCTTGGTCGGACGATCCTGAAGCCCACATCATTTAATATTTAAATGTCCAAACGATACCCCCCCCCCAGAACCCCCTACCCTCACCATCTCTCCGACCTTTCGCCTGAACCCTGATGCCGCCGTCCTCCGCCGTCCGCCGCCGGCCGGAAATCGCCTCCGCCGGTGGCGTTGTCCAAATGCTCCCAAATTTTCACCACTGCCTCCCTTCTACCTCACCTTCACAAATCCGGCCTTGCCTTACCTCAATACCCAACCAAAACCCTCAAATCTGTAAAACCCTAGGCGCGGCCTCCGCCATGCACGGCGGCGCCGTCCCCAATCCCTACCAAATTTGTTACCCTAGGTTTGCTTCTACCCCCACATCACTTATCTACACTCATTACTCTTCGAAAAATTCCCCAATTTCTCAAATCTCGAATCTGAAATTCGAAAATTGAGCAACTCTGTCTCCTCCGCAAGTTTTAGACACAGCTTCACTACGAGAGGATATCATTTGATTATTCTTGATAAAGAGTGGTCGATTGATATCATCCCGTAGTCGGAATTGTGAAGTCAGTCTTGGTTCGAAGTTTTAAAAATTGGTAAGCTTTCTGGTTTAATTTTGTCTGTCTATTTTGTTCATCTTCTTCAGTTATGGTGTGTTATGAAAATCGTTCAGGGCCGTTTATTTCAAAATTAGTAAATTCTTTAAATTTTTTGATTTTTTTTTAATCTTGATTTGATTGTTGTTTTGTTTCTGTTAGTCTAAATGTTTAGATGTTAGTTTAATTTTGATTAGTTTACGTATTAGTTGAGTTGGATTTTTCTTTTAGTTTGAGTCTGATATGTTTGATTTCTTTTAATAGTCATAATTTGTTCGTTTATTAATCTATGTGTGATTTGAATTTTTAAAAATTTAAGATTGAGCATGTTCTGAGCTTTGATTCAAAATTCTATAATTGCTATCCTAATTTTTCTGATTTTCTTTAGTATAATTGAGATTAATTGCTTCCTTTAGCTTAATTTCGATTCTGAGTTTCATTAAATTCAATAAATGTGTTCTTGTATTATTTCTACATGGTTAATTGAGTTCAAGGAACCCCTGTTGGATCTTTTATCATTTTTGTGTTAATAATAC